AAACAGTCAGACAGAGGTTCTGGAAAGACCACGAATAAAAAGATTTACTGAAATAAATAGAAAAGATACAATTTAGATTCTTTGATCACAATAACTCTTTGAGTCCCAAAGAACATATCATACGTTCATAGGTTCCTACAAAGAAGCCCAAAAAACGCAAGATGCGCCGTTTTACGACTATTTTGACTACCCCTTGGGCCTCTGATGCTAAACCCCATGAGACTCAAAAAGTTAAAAAGACACAATACGCTTTTAAAAACCATACAGGAAGAAAAGGTCCAGGGCAAGACAACGATACAAGTGGGAGGACAACATTAAAAGATGGGGAACAGAAGTGTAATAGAGTGTACAATCAAGACAACAGAAACAGCGTGTTTGAGATTCATTGGAGGCAACCTTCACTGCGGAGACGGCAACAGATTGATTGATTAGGACAGAAGGATGAAAAAGAAAATCTGAGAGTAAACTAACATTAAGCACGACTGGTAGTGACTGAAAAGAAGAAGAAGAAGAAGAAGAAGAAGAAGAAGAAGAAGAAGAAGAAGAAGAAGAAGAAGAAGAAGAAGAAGAAGAAGAAGAAGAAGAAGAAGAAGAAGAAGACACACAAAACAAAGCCGATTTTCTGGAAACCTATTGGGCAAAATTGCAATGTTCAAATGAAAGGAATTTGGTTGGAACAAAAATGATTGCTTTCCCTTTTAGAGCGATGTATGTGACCTTCAATTGTCAGCAAACTTGGCGACTGACCGCACTCAAAGAGCCGCAGAAAGCCCAGCAACCGACAAGACAAACTCAATAACCAAACGCAGGACCGGGCACAAGCAATATCAAAATGGCCTCACTTCCCTGGCGACAAGGGCAGATAATTGCGTTACGATACATCACTGGCAAGAGTTACCGGTCTTATATGGTTCAGCCTTAGCTAGACATATACACAATTTGAAATCTTGATTTACCACATGTAGGTCACTATGTGTGTCGTAAGAGGCTGCATTACACACAGGAATTTGAAGTTTAAACGGTATCCAACAGACAGACGGTATACATATAGACAAGCAACATACAGATAGACAGGCAACATACAGGTAAAGAGACAACATTCATACATGTACACCCACACAGCAATTCCTACAAACAAAACAAACAATCCTTGTCTACATCTTCAGACGTACTGGGGCATATAAGTATAAACTTAAATTTTATATGATAAATCAACACTTTGTGGATGATGTGGGAAACAGCCCGCCGACCACCTTTACTTCCCAGGACTTTACCTGGTACCTATTTAAACGCTGTTTGACCTGGAAGCAAAACTTATTTGGGTACCTAATTTATAATTTACCCCTGACGTCACGACAACGTCACTGGAGACATTCCCAATAAATTCTAGGGCGTTCAGGTTGTAGTTTCTCGCGATTTCTCTACAGTAAATTTTAGGGTTAGGGTTAGGGTTAGAAGACACTAGATGAACACTCAAAAAAAAAAAAGCACTACACAACAGCACACTTCCACCCCTTGAAATAATGGACTGTCAGGTCAGCTGTGGATATCCCACGGGGATTTCGTGTTTGGGGTACGTTATAAATTAAGAACACTTATTTGTGAAACATTTCCGGCTTCATCAGGATATGAACCCACGATAATCCGATCTGCAGGCGAGCCTCTAGTCACTACACCACGACGGCTACCCAATCCCTACAAATTAATCATCTAAAACAGGTCTATATGCGGAAGACGCAAATACACACACACACACGCACACTAAGAGAGAGAGAGAAAGAGAAAAAGAGAGAGAGAGAGAGGGAGAGAGAAGGGGAGTAGGACGGTGCTGAGTGAGGAAGTGAGAGAGAATAACAAGAACAAAACGAGCTAGATAGGACGATATATGTGTATAAAAACAGACTGACAGAAAAGTGAATAAACTGAAAGTGAAACGGGGGTTTAGAATTCTCACTCTCACTAAATGAAAATATAAATCAAGTATCAAAAAACATCGCTGGCGGGAAAACGAGAAACCGATTCCTCCCCATAAACAGCAGAAGTGTAATTATCTCCCTGTAAACCAGACGGTCCCTGTCACAGAACACACAAGTCTGTTCTTCTGTCTAAAGAACAATAACTTGGTTGATAATGGGATTATTCTCCCGAAATAATGTTTTTTCGTTTATGATTTCTCTCAACAGATAGTTTCTAATCAATATTTGTCCAGTCTTATTGCGTGTATAGGGACAACAGAACAAAGCTGTTCTATTCTGCTAGGAAATCTGTCTGTACAGCTATGACGACACTGGCTATTTTTGCGTCGACACCGAATTAAATAGCATGATGTGGTAAACCCACCTGTTTCTCAAATGGGTTCTGAGTGGATAATGTACTTCCTGTTCTTTTTAGGACGAAATATTTCGTTATTTGAAGCGCTACTCTGGCTCTTGCCAGGGGCCGCAATATAGCCCGGCCATAAACATGGCCTAAAGGCTGAACGCGGTTTCTGAGACATCTCTACGGTGATCCTCATGGTGGCACACTGTGTCATCGGGTGTTTATCGCTTGTGTGATGTCCTGTGGGGTAGAAAGTAAGTCGTTCTGAGGAGGGAGGGAACGTGCGTGTGGATCATAAACCGACCCATCCCCCACCCACCCCACCACCACCACCACCAATACATACAATAGAAGACGAGTAAAATAGGTTGACTAAAATGTGCTTGGTGAAAAGACGTCTAATTCTCAACCCAACTGTCGATCAACACACACAGTAGCATTCACCTTTTTCTTGAAAGGATCAACGTAGAAGAAACTGAAGAAAGAAAGGGATAAAAGAAGAAGAAGACTAATAAGGAAGAACATGAAGAAAAAGAAGAAGTAGGAGAAAAGGAAGAAGAAGAAGAACGTAGAAGAAAAAGAAGAAAGAAGAAGAAGAAAAAAAAAAGACGAAAAGTAATAATGATAAAAAAATTGTAATAATACTAATTCACATATCACATATGTATAAATATATTTGAGGCATATGTTAACTTTAACTCATTCGATCCCAAGAAACGCATGCACGGTTCGGACATAGCCAGATTAAAGTCCGTATCAACGTGCGATACGCTGTTTGTATCTTTTGCTTCTTAATCTAATTCTGGGTGGCTTCAAAACAAGAATTCGATAATATGAATTAACTTTCCGGCTCGTTGTTATTATTATTCTTATAATTATAATGCGCTGAATGGCAAGTAAGAAACTATTTATATGTATATATGTATTTATATATATATTACATAATATACCCTGCCGCTCCATAATTACTTATTAAAGAGAATTATGTGTGTTAAAAAAGGATGGTGGGTTACTTAGCGCCCCTACAAATGCTTTAGAGTGGCCAGTGAGGATTGGGGTGCGGGGAGGGTGTGAGAAAGGCGATCATCATTCCTTTTAAACTACTGGCTAAGGAGGAAAGCCTTAAAGTTGCCTTCGCCCCAGGTTTCGGTGCCCTCGACCTTTAACCCCAGTATGCCCTCTGACAGGCACTTGGGAATTTATTACTTGCTTCTTTATTTTATATGGAGAGTCTTTCCCTAATTAATCCGTCCATTTTCTTATAATCCTCTCGTCGAATTTCATTCTTTGCGTGTTCATTCAACGGTCTTCTTCAGCAAGTTTGACTCGGAAGAAGCCAGGCTGTCAAGGAAACCTCTAGTTATTGATAGAACTGTTATCATCGTTGACACATCTGCTTCCCACCGGAAGAAGCGCCATTTGTTCATATTCAGTTTCTCAGTTTTCGCAATCTGGGGCCATGTTTTTCTGTTTAAGAGTGAGAACGTCCTTTGCTTAAGATTTCCGTGAATTTTGAGTTTTTTTCTTGCCGCTTTTTGCCGTTGGAGGAGTTGATAGTTTCATCTAAATCCCTTCCATGATAATCATCATCAACATTTTCATCATCATCATCACCATCATCGTCGTCGTCGTCGACCTCTTAATTATAGTTGTAGCTGCCAAAATCGCCAACTGCAATCTGATAATTATAATAACCATATTTTATTATCATAATCTTTGTTGTGTAGCTACAGTCATCATTGTTATCATCATCGTGTCATCATCGTTATCATCGATTTCGCCGCTACGTTCATAAATCAACAAGAAGATCGTCTTTAGACGCTTACAAACAGCTTTTCTCTTCTCCCGTGTTCCAAGCCACAATGATTTATTTTCTGGTTCTGTATCGCTGTTAAACTTTTCCGCCGATATAAGGTAACTGAACAAGTCTTGCACAATGTGTTGGTTTCTATCTATTTGCTTGACAGGTTATCCTGGCATCACAGACACCGCGGAGTCTATGCAAACCTCTCGGACAGAAACACATTTTCAGGGATCATGTAATTATAGGAGGCATTTGATTTTCCAGTCTGCCCAGGAGATGCGTGGGCCAACGAGCTACCCGACCAAACCAACAATCAATGAACCAACTAACCAACTAATCAACTAATCAAGAACCAATCAGCCAAAAAAAAAAAAAAAAAAAAAAAAACCAACCAACTAGTAAATAAACTAACCAACTAACCAACCAACCAGACAACCAACTAACCAGTCAACCAATCAAACAACCAACCAGTAAATAAACGAACCAACAAACCAACCACTCATCCAATCAAACAATCAACCAACCAATAAATAAACTAACCAACAATTTATCAAACAAATAACTAACCAGTTAGCCAATCAACTAACAAATGAGCCAACCAACTAATCACTCAGCCAACCAACCAACAACCAAACAACTAACCAACCAATCAGACAAACAACCAACAACCAGTTAAACAACTAACCAACCAATCAGCCAACCAAATAACCAGTCAGCCACCAACGAGCCAATCAGCCACCAAACAACAAACAAGCAAACAACGTACAACTTTTTTTCTCAATGTCTATCTCTTGGTCTCCCTCTCTCTTTCCTTACCTGTATTCTATATCTCCTACTTCCCCTTTCTGCCACACATATCTGCAAATCATTGACTTACTTGGTAATCGAATGAACGACAGACGAAAGTAGTTTCCTCCAGGCAGGCCTGGGCACATCTTTCTGCCGTCAGTCTATCCAGTGTCTTGTCATTTTCCCCCGGGACAATGCTGTAAGGTGTGGCATGGAAGCGGTTGAGGCTGACACCTGGGAGAGTCACAGATCAAAACCTTGTTCAGTTTAAAGAGCATAGACAGTTGAGGCTTTTAGCGTTATTTCCTCTTTTGTTTTTGACTGTATATTGTTTGATCTTATAGTTTTTGCTATTCCTCTTCATTGCATTATCACCTTCATCACATTCTTCATCATTTTTCTTCTTCTTCTTCTTCTTCTTCTTCTTCTTCTTCTTCTTCTTCTTCTTCTTCTTCTTCTTCTTCTTCTTCTTCTTCTTCTTCTCTCTTCTCTTCTTCTTCTTCTTCTTCTTCTTCTCTTCTTCTTCTTCTTCTTCTTCTTCTTCTTCTTCTTCTTCTTCTTCTTCTTCTTCTTCTTCTTCTTCTTCTTCTTCTTCTTCTTCTTCTTCTTCTTCTTCTTCTTCTTCTTCTTCTTCTTCTTCTTCTTCTTCTTCTTCTTCTTCTTCTGCTTCTTCTTTCTTCTTCTTCTTCTTCTTCTTCTTCTTCTTCTCTTCTTCTGCTTCTTCTTCTTCTTCTTCTTCTTTCTTCTTCTTCTTCTTCTTCTTCTTCTTCTTCTTCTTCTTCTTCTTCTTCTTCTTCTTCTTCTTCTTCTTCTTCTTCTTTTTCTTCTTCTTCTTCTTCTTCTTTTCATCATCATCATCACCATCATCATCATCATCATCATCATCATCATCATCATCACAATCATCACCACCACATCATCTTTTTCTTTTTCTCTTCCACTTCCTTCTCTTTCTTCTTTTTTTGTTTCCGCAAGAATAGCAACAACAGTCTTGCCAATGATAGGAATTTCTTCCTATTTTGAAAGTTTATGACGTGTGGCGTTGGTAGTCATGTCTATCCACAACCTTCTGTTTCGTTAACTTTCAATCAGTTCTGACACAGATGATCTTCTATGCCATGATGACAAACCATCCAGCATCTGTTCTCTTGGTCTCCTCTGCCTCACCTCCCCTCCAAATTTCACGTCACAGTGTAATCCAGTGTTCTCCCTCTCTTGACAGATAGCACCACAAACAGCAGAACAAGGAAAGGATACCAAAAAACAACATTTTTATCGGGCGTATACTGTCAAACCGAAAGACATAGACTTCAGGTGTCTGTCTTGCCAAGAAGGTCAAAGAAAGAAAGAAAGAAAGAAAGAAAGAAAGAAAGAAAGAAAGAAAGAAAGAAAGAAAGAAAGAAAGAAAGAAAGAAAGAAAGAAAGAAAGAAAGAAAGAAAGAAAGAAAGAAAGAAAGAAAGAAAGAAAGAAAGAAAGAAAGAAAGAAAGAAAGAAAGAAATAAAGAAGGTCAGAAATATAGGAAAAGAAAAAAAATGAAAGAATAAAGAAAGGAAGGAATGGAAAAAGGAAGGAATGATGTAGAAAAACAAAAACTGAAGAAATCCTAGAGCTGAGCAGAAAATACGAAGAAAGTAAAGAACCAAGAAATAAATGTAGAAGTTTTAAAATCTTTGCCATAATTCACGCAAACTAATTTGATTATTCCTCTGTCATACAACTTCCTATGTCTATTTTCGGCCGCAATGTCCAACCGGCCATTTAGTTTTCCTTCTGACAAATTTTGCCAAATTGTCCGGCGCTGATA